GGCTTCGCCGCAGGGGGGTGGCGTGGCGGCGCTCGGGGCGGCCCCGGCGCCGCCTGCCTGCCCGTGACCACCCTCGTCGAGGTCCTCTGGGGCGGCGAAGTCCGTGAGCGGGGCGTCCCTCCAGTCGGTGTCCACGTCGTGGTTCGCGTAGGCCAGGGTGGGCCCCACCGCCTTGAGCTTCTGGGCGCGGTACTGGGCGTACCCTGCAAACTCGGGCGGCAAGGCAGCTTGGGGATCAGGGTGCCATATCTGGGTCTTGGACATCTTGAGCTTCATCCCGCGGGCCTCGACGCGGGCTCGCCAAGCATCCAGACCGCGGAACGCAGCGGCCGCGGTGCCCGCGAAGTACGCGTCGTCCAGGAAGGCCAAGCAGCCCCCTTCCGCGTCCACCGCGCGCACGGCCATGCGGCCGATGCTGAGAACATCCGCAGTGCCGACCGCGTAAAAGCCTGGGCTCATCGGGCAGCCCTGGTCGAGGCCACGGATCTGGTCGACCAGCTGGGCGGGTTGCGACCCGCCCCCCGCCGCGCGGCGTGTTCGAGCGGGGAGCCAGGCTTCCGCCAACGGGGCCAGCGCAGGCACCTTGGCGCGCACGGCCTCCTTCACCAGGTCGCGGGGGATGTTGCTGAACGCATCCCCGAGGTCCACCGCCACCGCCCACTTGCCTGGGCTCGAGTTGGCCATCGTGCATAGGCGCCGATGGAGGGCACCACATCCGTCCTTGGCGAGGCCGAACTGCTTGTCCCCCACAGCCGTCCGCATGTCCTTGTGGTGGACCTTGGCAGCGCTGCGGCCCGCCATGCGGCGGGTGACGTTTCCGCAGCCCAGGACTCGCGCATCCCCAGGGGTTGCCTTGGGGATGCCAGTGAGGCGCGCCGCCGTCAGGGCGGCTAGCGCCTCGGGAGGGAGGTCCCCGATGGCCAGTCGTGCCAGCGCGTTGGCCACCGCCTCTGCCCCATCCTCGTCGCACTTGAGCGGGGCCCAGTGCTCGTAGCGTCCTCCCCCAGGCCCCGCCACTCCACGGCGGGGGAAACGGCCGAACTGACGTTTGAGGTGGTTGGCTACGCGGCGATGGAGTTCTGCTGCGCCGTCGAGCTCGAAAGGGGCCGCGGCTGGCGGCATCGCCACGTCGGCCCCCGCCCCTGCGGGCCCTCTCCCTGGCCCATGCGGGGCGGCCCCAGTGCCAGGGGGAGGGCCCCACTCGCCTGGGCGAGGCGCCTCAGGCTGCTGGGTGGTGCTGAACTTCCTCGCCACCGCCGCTGCGTCCGCCGTGCCCCCCTGGGGCCACGCTGCCGCTGCCGCCCGAGACATCTCTCCAGCTCGTGCGAGCTCAGTGACACGGCGCACACGGGCTGCAACGTGATCCTCGCGGCCCTTCGTGGTGACCGTGGTGCGCGACTGGCCCTCCATGGATCCACCGCGGGCGCTCCTGGAGGCGCTCGCGCCGTGTCGTCGGGGTCGGGGTCGCATTTTCGCTGAACAGCAGCCCGTCCAACGAAAGGAACACCTTCCACAGCCTCGTCAACGTACTCGACGACTGAGCATCGTTACCCTGCCGCGCCATCCCCCTGGGCGAGAGGGGTGGGGGCCTGGCCTTCGATTGTTTCCAGCAGGGGCAAGGTAGGACCCCCTCGGGCCTCCAGGGCTGCCGTGGGGCGCCCCCTGTCGCCCTCAGGGAGCTGAGTGAAGCCCACCATCGCCGTAGCTGGTGGTAGGGGGCCATCGACGCAGGCCATGTGGAACCATTTCCTGCCCGCGTGCGCCTGGGACCCCGCAGGTGGTGTCACGGCGCCTGCCACGCGCCGTTCGCCTGCCTCAAAACCTCCCGCGCAGCGGGTGCAGCGAGCCTTATTGCCACGAGCCGCCTGGGCGCTGACACACCAACGGGTGATTCGCCCGCCCGTCATGCGGCGCCGCCGTTGTGCTGGCTGGCCCTCGCTGTCACGCATGTGGACGTCGGTGTTGCCATCCACGGGGATGTCGGCTGCGTTCACGCCAGCCGACGCGGGAGCGGCAGCGGAGGCGCACGGGGCGGCCCCAGCACCTCCGCTGCCTCCCGCAGCTGCCAGCACTCCGCCTTCGCCTCGAGCCGCAGCGGCGTTACTCCCAGCCACTCGAGCCCCTGCACCTGCGTCCGCAGCGCCGCCAGCGGCCGCCGCCATCCCAGGACGTCCCTTCAGGGCAAGGAAGAGTGTTCGTAACAGTGAGGGCGCGGGAGAAGGAATGGTGGCTGTCACCCGCGGTTTGAGGGCAGCAGTAGCCCCCTCGCCCACAGGCTCCCCAGAGCCTTGGGGGGACGACTACTACTACTACTACTACTACTACTACTACTACTACTACTACTACTACTACTACTACTATTACTACTACTACTACTAATACTACTACTACTACTACTACTACTACTACTACTACGACTACTACGACTACTACGACTACTACGACTACTACGACTACGACGACTACTACTACTACTACTACTACGACTACTACTATTACTAATATTACGACTACTACTACTACTACTACTTACGACGACGACGACGACGACTACTACTACTACTACTACTCCTACACGAATTCTGCACCTGCTACGGCTAGTGCTACTGCTACGAGGAATACTACGACTACTACTACTACTACTACTAGTACTGCTGCTGCTACTACTACTACGACTACAAATACTACTGCTACTACTACTACTACTACTACTACTACTACTCCCACTACTACTATTACGACTCCTACTACTACTACTACTACTACTACTACTACTATGTCTACTACTACTACTACTACTACTGCTACTTCTGCTGCTGCGACGACTACTACTAATACTACTACTACTACTACTACTACTACTACTACTACTACTACTACTACTACTACTACTACTACTACTACTACTACTACTACTACTACTACTACTACTACTACTACTACTACTACTACTACTACTACTACTACTGCTACTACTACTACTACTACTACTACTACCTACTACTACTACTACTACTAGCTACTAGCTACTGCTACTTCAATTCCTGCTGCCACTACTGCTACTTCTACTACCACTACTACTACAACAACTACTACTTCTATTCCTACTGCCACTACTTACGCCTCAGGAGTGCTCACACGAAACATTGTAGTACAGAACTCGGTCCTCAGAAACTCCACTCCCACAAACTCCATCCGCAAAAGGACTGTTGAAGCTCAGGCCCCACGAGGGCCCTCCGAAATTCCATCCTCAGAAGGACTGTTGAAGCTCAGGTCCCGATATGAAAAAGGATAGGATTGTGAGATTGTTAATAGCGCCTTCGGCGACGAATGTGCCGATTGTAGAATGCAATTCTTCTACAAGCGTGCTCGAACTTCCTCAGGCGCACAGGGTAGTTGTCCAGAGCGCATTATTCGTTGGGGAAAAAACCGCCGCCAACGTTATCCGACGCGGCATTCGTGGGAAGCTAACCGGTGGTCCGCGACTCGTGCGCCGATGGTAAATGCAGATTTCGGCATATACTGTAATCGTATTGCGTAACTACGAGGAGTGGAAGGAGAAGATTGTAAGCAACGCCTTCGGCGACGAATGTGTCGATCCAGATTGCGATCCAGATTGCGATCCAGCAGGAGGAGGAGGGGCAGGAGGAGGAGGAGGAGGAGGAGGAGGAGGAGAAGGAGGAGGAGAGGGAGGAGCAGCAGCAGGAGGGGGGCGATCTTAGTCCCCGACGAGCGAAACAGAGGGGGGGTAATACCTAAAGACCTCCTGAGGCTATGTCAAGGCTATAGCTTCTTCCCTTGGCTATCCACATTTACTTGATAGAAACAGTCAAGTCGCTATACATGCTGCCAGGCTTGGCATGCTGTGAGCATGCCCGCGCCGTCCTGATCCCAGACATGTCATTTGCAAGGCAAGGTAAAGCCTGAAGTGGCAGAGGAACATGACACGACACCGCACCTGGCCTGTAACACCGTTTCACCGCGTGAACCTTCCAATGTTGAGCCATCTCCGCTCTCGGTCCCCAAAGGCAATCTACCTCACCTTCCATGTGCATTCGGATGTCTTCTGTGGGCCCCCGAGCCCGAGACGGGACCCGTGGTGCGTCCGCGCTGTGAAGTCTCAGAAGGTCCCTGGGAGTCAGGCAACAACAACTTTCAATGTTAAACAGCGGCCGCAACATGCATCGGGTCGGGCGAAAAGGGGGGATAGCAAAGGGGGGGGTTGAGAATCAGCTCACGTAGCTGATTTTCCCGGCGCCTCCTGGCGCCGGAGGCGCCCATGTATCGAGGAATGGGCCCCTCGGCGAGGCCGAAACCAGCTGCATGCAGCAGATCTCGTAACCCCCCCTTTCCCAATCCCCCCCCTTTCGTCCGGCCCGAATGCAAGACGGTGGTCGAGCAGCGGCCGCAAACATGTCAGACGGCGGTCGGGCAGCGGCGGGGCGCGACGACGCACAGCGACGCACGACAAGGAGAGAACGCGCCGAGGCGCGGGGCGGCTGGGGGGGGGGGCCCAGGGGGGGTGGGGGGGCGAGGGAGCCACACCCATAGGGGGGAAACAAACCTACCTCGCTTTTGACCACCCTCGCTTCCAAGAGATACCAAGCGATGCCAAACTACGGCCTGTACTGGTCAGGCCGCTTGACGAGGAGGCGCGTGGTATGACTTGGTTTTGCCTGGAAGCGAAAGCGGGGTAGGTAATTCACGCTCTGAACACAGGCCAAATCGGAGGTCCGCGCGGATTTCTTGGATTGGCGCTGGACCCGCCTCCACCGGCGAGCCGAGCGGCTGGAGCGGCCGGAGCGGCTGCGCCGGAGGAGACGCCAGAGGGGCCCAGCGAAGATCCAGGTGATCCACGCGCAGCTCCGACAATTTCCTTGTATGCCGCCTTTCTTTCTTCTTCGCAACTGCCCGGGAGCCTCCCGAGGGTCCCTGGAGGCCTCCGCATGGGGCCCCCCAGGATCGGCAAAACAAAACCACAGAGAGCGGCACAGACTGGCCTCCTCGCCCTCGCCGCCGAGCTTGCGCTTCGACATCTGCTCCGGCGCCTCCGCAGCTGCTGCCGCCATGCTGCCTGCCGAGCGCCTCGGGTTTCTCCTCCTCCTCCTCCTCCTCCTCCTCCTCCTCCTCCCCCTGGCCCTCAAACTTTCCCTCCTCATGGTCCTAATGTAATGTTACCTGCTCCTCATCCGCTCTGCTCCCATCCCTCTCTCTCCCTCGCTTCTCCTTCTCCTGCTGGTCGTCCCCCATCTCCTCCTCCTCCTCCTCCTCCTCCTCATCCAATCTTCTCCTCCTCCCCTTCCTCCTCCTCCTCCTCCTCCTCCTCCTCCTCCTTCTCATCCCATCTCCTCCTCGTCCTCCTCCTTCCCATAGTCTTCCTCCCGATCGTTCTCCTCATCCTCACCCTCTCCCTTGCATCCCTCTCCTGCTTTGCAGAATGATGCGTTGCGCTTGCGAGGGGGAGATGTATAATATGTGGGCCGCTGCATGCCAAGCGTAACTGCACCAAGTCGGTTGCCGATGCTGCAGCGCTTTTGACCTCTAAGTAAAATTCATTAACCCTCCTCCAGGGTGGTGGCGACGATGACTATGCTGGTGATGATCACCTCTTTCAGTTTTTAGGCCCCCCGAATAGTGGGAACAAAATATATGTTCGGAACACTTGTTTACGGACTGTGGCCCAACCACTAGTGGAAAACAATCCTGACACCGCGACACCCACCGCATAAGAACGACGACGACGAGTTGAAGGAGGATATTGTGAGCAACGCCTCTGGCGAAGAATGTGTCGATCTACATTGCAATCCTCTTACAAACGTGCTCAGAAATCCTCTGTCGTGAAAGGTCGACCAGTGAGCATCATTCCCTAGGGGAAAGACCCCCACCATTATCCAGCCCGCCCAGCAGGAACAATTATCTCGCCGCGCCGGCGCCGACGATTACGACTACGACTGCGATTCCAACAACGATTATGACTACAACCACGTTGAATATCACAATTTCAATCACGACTACAATCACGATCCCACTCAAGATTACAACCACGACTACAATCACGACTCCAACCGCAACCACTGCTTCCTAGTGCACTCCTCAAGAGAAGATGTTCACACATCCTCTTGCGTATAGGGTAGGCCACAATGGTTTGTTCCCTGAAGGACCCCCAACATTATCCAGCCCGCCCAACAATAGAGGGAAAACAGTCTTCGCAGCGACGCCGACGACAACGACGACGACGATAGCGACCACGTGGAGGAGCAGGAAGAGGAGGAGCATGAGGAGTGGAGGAGGAGGAGGAGGAGGAGGAGAAGCAGGAGGAGGAGGAGAAGGAGGAGGGGCGTACTTCTTTTTCACCAACAGAAACAAGGGTGGGTGGGTGCAAAACGAAAGACCGCCTGAGGTTGGTGAGGACTCTGCTGGCGGCGCGCTAGTGAGCTCAACCACTCTCAAGAAACGAACGTGCCGTAACACAGGCACAGACGTAAACGTTCGGAGGTCCGGGCGGATTCCTTGGATCCGCGCCAGGCCGCTCCCTGACAAGCTGAGCGCGTCGCCAGGAGGGTGCAGCACCGATCCGAGAGATCTGCGTGGACCTCCGATAGTGAATCTGTAGGTTGGTTTTTGTTTCGTCGACTCCTCCTCCCTCCTTTCATCTGAGGGGGAGCGATCGGAAGGGGGCTGGCTTAGGGGGGAAACATCGACCTGGAATCGACGGTACATCGCCGATAGATCGGCGAGAAGTCCTCGATGGCAAAAGTGCACGTCGTGTCTGGGTGGGTTATCGGGCCCCTATCGGCAACAAGTGGACGTTTGGGGGGTTCAATGCATCCCCCTGAACCTATCCCCCCTACCTTCGCTCCTGGCTTTTGGGCCATAACTCAACTCTCTGGCGGGTGTTCGGGGCGATCAGAACAGCTCCAGAGCTCTCGGCGAGGCGCAGCCGCTGGAAAGCACCCTGAGGTTGGAAAGCCGCCGCGGACCGAACAAAAGCACCCAACGCCTCGAAAGTCGATCCTGACGCTGCCTGGAAGAAGAAGGAGAATAACAAAACTGCATATACATAAACTTTCGATGGTCCGCGCGGGCTTCTTGGATCTGCGTGGGCCCCCTTCCCTGGCGCGCGGAGCACGCCAAGGGCGTCGCCGGAGGCGCCGCCAGGGGGCCCCAGTGCAGATCCAAGAATCCGGGAGGGCCGTCAAAAGTTCGTGTGTGTGTGTGTGCCGTCTTTCGTTCTCCGGCTCTCCCCTCTCCCCTCCTCGCTCCTCCTCGACAGGATTCGACATGATCTCGGTACAGCGCGGGAGCGCTCCTCCGGTCGGCGGGCCAGCGCCGCGCGGGCGGGCTGCGGGCGGGCGGCGAGCTCGCGGTCCTTCTTGTTTTGTGCCAAGGGCGCCGCCGGGGAGATGAGGCGGTGGCATCGTCGAGAGGGGGAGATGGCGGAGGAGACGAGAGGCGAAGGTGAAGGCTGAGCGCGTCGGGGGCGAGCTCCGAACGACGAGCCACGACAGCGCTCGGGACAACACCGGGGGAAGGAAACATACCATACACAGAACAACTCGGAGGTCCGGCGCTCCGCGCCTCCGGCGCCGCCCTTGGCGCGCGCGCCAGAGAGGGGGGTCCAGCGCCGGTCCGAGACATCCGCGCGGACCTCCGAGTTTTTTTTTATGTTTATGCCATCCTTCGTTCCCCTATAAGCACTTGGCCCCTGCGAGAAATATATATATATATATATATGTGTGTGTGTGTGTGTGCAAGAGCCACGCGGCTCCACGTGGCCCACTGGCCACGAGCGCGCGGGGGCCGACTGCGCCGGGCGCGCCGGTGACGTGAGCGGAGGAGAACCCGCCTCCACAGGCTGGGCATTGGGAAAGAGGTCGCGGACTGCCAGGCCCAGGTGGGGAAGGGCCACGGCGTGACAGTCCCCGAGAAGGTCGTGAGTCAGCAGCCGCAGCCCCGAAGGGGGGCAAGGCGCAGAGGAGCATGGAGCAAGAAAGAGAGGAGCAAGGAGCAAGTAGGGCGAGCAGGAGAGGGCGAGGGGGCAGGGGGAAGAGGCGAGGCGAGGGGCAGCCAAGCCGAGCAGGGAGGAAAAGTGGGGCCGCGGGTAGATATTGAGTCTAGGCCACCCAGTTGAAGTTGTTTTTGCTTGCACAACGCGACTGCGACGCGCCGAACGCGTGCCGCTCTGAGAAGACACTCAATCTCAATGTTTATATGTTTTACATTGTTCGGCATCCTGTCGTGTGTCGTGTCATTAATAATTCCTGCGACAGCAGCTGCAGGGGCAATTGTCAACTCTCAGGGCATGTATAAGCCTCCGTCTGGATAAACACGAGTATAAGCCAATGTGCCTGTCTTCAACAATATACCAAGCGCTGCCTCAAGTTGTTCAGCGCTGCATTGTAAGTCATGCTGCAACGGCATGGGATATACTCCCTCGTCTCATTCCGCTGCGCACAATTTTCCTCATATGCAACAACACTCCATCCTGAGCAAGAACAAACGCATCAATATCCACACGTTGCGTTGTTCGCAAATCGTACCTTGTGTGGATTAGATTTGACTCTATCTCCGAGGCAGGATGGGTGAGCCAACCTATTTCCCCACGAGTCTGAAGCACGCCAATCGCCACCCACGTCTCCAGCGCTACCATGACTTCGGCAAAAGTGCAACTGCAATTGGTTTTTGCATGTATCGCTTTCGCACCGAATTCCCTCCCCACAGGCAGTATATCTACATAATCGAAAACTGTGTCCGCCAAAATGCCCGTTCCCACTGCGTCCAAAAATTCTACGGCGCCTGACACAAAGGTGCACTGCAGGCCCCACAGTCGATCAACACTCCATCTGTTCGACAGGAGAAGCCAAATCTTTATCATGATCTGCCATTTCGTGTGATGCGCCCTGTTCCTCCTTGCTCTTCCATCACATAACAACTTGGGGCGCGCTCCTCCTTTGGCGGCAAAACATTGGCCAAAACACGAATTGTCTTCACGAGCCATGTTCCGACTGAGGGCAAGCAATTGTATCCCAAATGTTGAATATCGGCCAAGACGGGCTTCGATGCGAAGTGCACGGCGGAGTCCGTCTTTGCATGTTGGTCCCCCAACGGAGATGTTTTGTGTAAAATCCCACCTGCTTGTTGTTCCAGTTCTGACACGTTTCCTATTCCCGATGTCGGTGAGATCCACAAACTGTTCATTGTGTTGATTGCTGCTAGTTGGCTTGTTCCGAGCGTGCGTGCGTCTCGTTCGTTTGCGCCTTCTCACCCCTGATGCTTTTGGTTGTTTTTGCAAAAAGGTCACACTCTCTTCTCGCGAGGACATGGATGGCACATGTTGCGGCATGAGGCTGGATACGAACTACAGTATGCGGAACTGTGTGCCTAAAGATTCCCTCCTCCCCCTGGCCTGTGGAGTCGGGTGGCCCTGTGGGATTCGAAGAAACCTGCACCCGTCACCAGCGCGGCCGCACCATTCCGCCACGAAGAGGCCAGGCGCGCGAGGTGCAAGCTCAGCCTGCCGAGAGATCGCGGGCGGGGAAGCAGACTCACGCCCGAAGCGCGACCAGGCTGGATCACACCCTGCGCCAGAAGAGGGGATGCAACTCTTGTTTCCGCCTCCGAGCGCGCAGAGTGCCCCCCTCGGCCGCGAGCGCGAGCGCGGACCTCCCGGCCGCGCACCCCCCGCGGGCTCGCCGAGAGGGGCCCCTCAGGCGGACGGCGGCCGCCGCAGCAGCATGTACACCTGCAGTGGCCACTTCGAGTCGGTGTGCTGCAGGAGGGCCTCCTTGATAGAGGCTCGAGACACGGAGGTCCCCACTGATTTCTGAAATCCGCGCTGGCGCGCGGCGCCGGAGGCGCCGCCAGGAGGGCCCAGCGCCGATCCAAGAGATCCGCGCGGAGCTCCTAATTTATACAAGACATAAAATTCTGGGAAAACTGGCTGGGGCTCAGAATTTGAGAGTTGTCTGCAGCCAGGGGGACCCCAGCGGGGATGTCCGATGCCCCAACTCCCAGTGGACCCGTAAGGGCAGGGTTCGCCCGTGGTCGCACTCCTGCGACCAGTACGGTGCGTTGATGCCGACGAAATAGCCAGAGAGCTCCCGCAGGCTGCCGGGCGCGTTGACGCCGAAGATCTGGAAGCCGCCCTCTCTTGCCAGCAGCATAGCGCCGTTCGGCGTGAACCGCCAGTAATCGTGCGGATCCCCGTGGACCATGCTGAACAGCGGCGCCGACCACACGACCCAGCCCCCGGGCGCGGTCAGCCGGAACAGCTGCTCCATGGCCGCTGCTGGGTGCTGCAGGTGCTCGAACACCTGCACGCAGATGGAGACGGCGATGGATCCTGGCGCGATGATCCGGTCGGCCTCGTGCAAGTCGACCCGGTACTCCAGGCTGCCTTCCGGGTCCCGCGGCTCGGACCGGGGCTCCTTATCCTCAAACATCACCATGTCGAGGAAGTCACAGAAGCCCTTGAAGTAGCGCCTGCTGTACGTGCTCGCGTCCCACTCCAAGCACCGCCTCGGGCCTGGTAGTTCCGACTCCGCGCCCCTGATGAACTCGGAGGTCTGCTGCAGCCAGTCTGCCAGCTGCACTCTCTCGAATGTGCGCTCGTGGCCCTTCGGGCTCCAGCCATCGTTGTCCTCCCTCATCTTCATGCCCATCGCAAAATGAGGGTCGGACTCCTCGCTGAACCTGGGTGAACAACAAGATACCGATACCGTTAACTACTCCGCCAGGCCTCTCCCGGTTTGCGTTTTGACCAGAACTTGGAGGCTAATCTGGGCGTGGCGACGATGGCCCTCCAGGAGGAGCAACGGCATCGGAATCGTCTCCGCCTCCGAGAACCACGGGTGCCGTATGGGCAGCAGGCCCGTGTCCCATCCGCGCAGGTGCCACCGCGCGTACGCCTCCTGGGCGACGAACAAAAACAGGCCCTACGCGCGATGACATAACGGCCTTGTGCGGGGGCTTACGTGGGCCGCCAGCGCGGCGCGCTGCATTGGAGACTAGGGCGCTTACGCGCAGCCTTACGCGGGTAGCTTACGCGCGAATATCCGCGCAATGGAACCCGTTTTTCTGCGTCGCTCTCCTGGGCGCAGTCCCAGGGCGTGTAGCAGCGCAGCCTCCTCTGGCCGCGCGCACATGGGGGTATGGTGGAGGGGGGAAGGCTTCTCAGCAGGAGGCTGCTTCCAAGCAGGGGTGCTTCCAAGAAGCCTTCCCCCATCCCCCTTCATGTGGGGAACAGATCCTGAGGGAGACGGGTCCTGGACCAGGGTGCCTCCCCCCAGGACGAGTTCTTCATTGAATCGTCTTCTGATAACTCCCAGGGCCCGTGGAGGGCCCCCACAAGCCCGAAGACGGCGAAAAACTTCAGGACCTCTTTCTCGCAGCACACGCTTTGTGTCGGCGGCCAGCGAGGGGGAAGTGAGAAGGAGAAGGCCGTCTCAGAAGGCGGCGGGACTTCTCTGGAACCCTCGCGCCTCCTGAGACATGTCATGTCTTCGGGGAAGGCTCAGCAGACCTCTCAACGGCTGGGGGCATTCCGAGAAGTTTGCTGAGCCTGCTGAACACTTCCCTCTGCCTTCGGGGGGAAGGCCTTCCGAGCAGGCCCGCCCCTCTTCGCTTCCCCCTCGGGCTGGCCGCCGGTTGTGCGCGTGGCCGGCTCCTGGCGGGACCCCCCGCGAGCCTCTCCGGCGAGCCGCCCTCGTCGGGCCGGCCGCCGGCGGCCTCGCAGCCGCGGCACCGCCACGCGTCGCTGGGCGCGGCGCCGGCCGAGAGGCCGCGGAGCCCGGCGAGGAGCAGCTGCAGCTCCTTGCCTGAGGGGCAGCGGCAGGACCAGGAGGGGACGGGCCCCGTCACCAGGGATCTAAGGGACTGGCGCGAAACCAAATGACGCCGGAATTCCGCCGTTCGGGGAGAGTGGAGGCAGTCCGGGCCACGGCAATATGGGGCTCATAAGACTGCACTTGTGATTCGCGTTTATGTTTTACACTTTCGGCGGCGGCCGCCGATCGCGCCCGGCTTGGAACCCGCGAATTTTGAATGGCGAAATTCCAATGTTACGAATCAGGGTCCTGGACCCTGGGTAAGACGAAGCCAGGACGAGGAGAAATTCGGGTGAGGATAAATCGAGAATCTCAGAGATCCGGCGGCTCTGGAGGATGTATCGGGCGACGCGGCCTTCTCACAGCGTTCTGGAACGCTCTGAGAGCGTTTCGGAACGCTCTCGAGCGGATTGTTATGTCCTAGCCCCGTCTAATAATAGGGACGCGCGGTAAGGACGAATGTTCCCCTCAGGACCCGCTTCCCCCATGTCGAGGGAACATCGACCTGCAATCTACGAAAAAAGCCATAGGCTTGCAGCGCGCACAGGAGGGTAGGGGGAAAGGGGAAAGCTTCGAAGAAAGAGGCTGCTTCTTCGAAGGCGCGGGTCCTACATCTGTGATAAAGGGCCGCGCCTTTTGAGAAGCAAGGGTGCTTCTAAGGAGCCTTCCCCTCTCCTCCTACCCCCCTCTACGCGTGGACGGGATAGGGGAGGCTGGCATAGAGGGGGAATCATCGACCTGGAGTCGACAACACATATCTACACATGTGCATACCCATGTCGACATACCTATACATATATATATATATATATGTATGTATACATACATCCATCCATCCATCCATCCATCCGTCCATCCATCCATCCATCCATCCGTCCATCCATCCATCCATCCATCCATCCATCCATCCATCCATCCATCCATCCATCCATCCATCCATCCATCCATCCACACACACAGACAGACAGACAGACAGACAGACAGACAGACAGACATACACACATACATACATACATACATACATACATACATACATACATACATACATACATACATACATACATACATACATACATACATACATATGTGTATATATAGATATAGGTATGTATAAACAAAATGAATATATACATACACTACATATTTAACACGTAGTTGCATCATATACATATATACATGTTCACGCATCGCCGGTAGATCGGTGATGGGTCCCCGATAGCGAATCCGCACGTTCCTGGGCGGGTTGGGGCTATCAGACCTGGGCCCGCACGGGAATGGAAAGAGCGCTGCAGCAACCTACCCGAGAGGGCTCATGGCACCCGTCGCTCTTGGGAGCCTTGGTGGTAAGAACTGGTTGCGTCACCGCTCGTTCTTGGGAGCCTTAGTGTTCCGAGACTTTTACGTTGCCGCTCGCTCTTGGGAACCTTGGTGTTGAGAGTTGTGTACGTCACAGTTCGCTCTTGGGAGCCTTGGTGTGCACGAGTTTGTCACGTCGCCGTTCGCTCTTGGGAGCTTTGGTGGGAAGAACTTGTTACGTCACCACTCTCTGTTGAAAGCCCTGGTTGTCAGAGATGTTTACGGTGCCGCTCGCTCTTGGGAGCATTGGTGTGACGAGCTTTTCATGTCACCTTCGCGCTTGGGGGCCTGGGTGTGAAGAGCTTCTTACGTCTCCTCCTCCTCCTCCTCCTCCTCCTCCTCCTTCTCCTCCTCCTCCTCCTCCTCCCCCTTCCTCCTCCTCTTCGGGCCCGCGTGGGAGACTATTGGGGCCCTCTTGAGCTTTCTTAAGGCCCTGGGGGCCCTCTTGGCCGTAGTGGGGCCCTCTTGGGCCGTCTGGGGGCCATCTTGGGCCGTTTGGGGCCCTTTTGGGGCGCCTCTGGGGCCGTCTTGGGACGATCTTTGGGGCCTCTTGGGCCGTCTTGGGTCCGTCTGGGGGCCCTCTCGGACCGTTTTCGGGCCCCTTTGGGGCGCCTCTGGGGCCGTCTTGGGACGATGTTCGGAGCCTCTCGGACCGTTTTGGGGCCCTCTTGGACCGTTTTGGGTCCCTTTTGGGCGCCTCTGGGGTCGTCTTGGGACAATCTTTGGGGCCTCTTGGGCCGTCTGGGGCCCTGCTGGAACGGAAAACGGGAGAACCGAAAAAACATGCAAAGCACCGTAAGGCCCTCTTAGGGGGCCCTCTTGAGGGCCTTCGGGGCCGTCTCGAGACTCTCTTGGACCGTCTAGCGGCCATCTGAAGCTCTCTTAGGGCCGTCTTGGGGCCCTCTTGGGCTGTCTTGGGGCCCTCTGGCCGCTTTACCAAACAACTACGAAGAAATGGGCCATGGGAGCCGCCCGGGAGCCGCTTCGCCCGAGCAACATACGACGGAAACGGGCCATCACCACCGCAACAGTCACGCCTCACCCCCCCTTTGCACTCCCCCTAAGGAGGGCTCCGCCCCTGCTCAGCGTCACTCGCTTGTACCTCGCTCTTTCCGTCACCTGTATCGGCAAACGATTTGGCGATTGGGGGTCGATGCGTTCCCCCTTGTGTCTCTCCCCCCTATCGTTGCCCCTGCTTGCCGCTGAAGCCCAGGAACTCGCGCACCGCCTCGAGGCCCTCCTCCAGGTCGCCAACCATACAAACACACCACACACCCTCTCGAGTCCTGAACAAAAACACGACGGCCGGATTATTGCGACTTTCAGCCTCTGAAGGCCGCTGCCGGGCCTCGGGGCCTTCGAGCAACGGCTCAGGTGAAAAGGCAGTCCCAGGGAATGAGTCAACTCGTGGGAGGCTCCCATGCCATCTTGTCAGTTATTGCGATTCGACGCTAGTCGACGCTAAATCGACGCTAATCAAAGCTAAATCGACATTTGCCGACGCTCGCCGACGCTAGATCGGCGCGATCTCATCGACCTCCAGACGCCGATCGACGTGAGTGGAATCTAAAGACACAATGAGGAGGGTACACGAAGCTCCCTCGATTTGCTACCGAAGGTCGGGACTTGAGGGGGTCCACGTGATAACCAAATCATGCCGTCGGCCAGGATCGGCACCGACCCTGGCCAGGTCCATCCTGGGCCCAGAATCGGAACGCCGTCCTGGCTCGGCCAGGACAGCATATACCCTGGGTGAGCCTCATGGGAACCTCTGTGGGCGTCTGCGGCCCCATCATGAACGTCTTTTCAACCGGACTTCGACCAAATCCGAACACTCCTCCTCGCACCCTTTCGTCCAAACTTCGTCCAAACGTCGACCAACTCCGCAAAACTTCAGACGAAATCCCCAACACCACACGGAATTCTGGACCCCCAACGGCTCCCATGACGGACCACACGAATGCACAGATCCTGGGCCCGGAGCGGGCCTGACCCGCATCGGGGTACCATCAAAACTGGTAGCAAGGATGCGCGATGAGGTTGCAAGCCCTTCGGACGCCAATGTCGAAGCGTTTCGAACGGGGCTGGCCATCGAGAGTGGTTAAGGATGGACCGAAGAAGCAACTATGCAATAACACCCTTGGGAAAGCTGCCCAATTCTTTTCATCGGGTTCGACGGTGCCCATTGGTCGAAAAAGTGGGTCGAAACGCGACCGGTGTGGGAGTTCCATGGGCCTCCCCCGAAAACTTCTGAACACACGTACGTACACACACGCACACACATATATACATATACATATAACGGCGCACCGGGTCCGGGGGCCCGGGGCCAGGACCCCGACCACAAATGTGGGCCCCGGGGGGCCCGGAGGCTCGTCGGACCGCAGGACGCCGGAACGCGCTCCGATGGCTCCAGATGCCTTCCAAGACGCTTGTCATGACACCAAGAAGGTCCCAGAAGCCTCCAAGACGCTCCGAGAGGCAGCCCAAGGGAGGCCCAAGAAGCAAAAATCGTGCCATTCCTATGGGAAAACGTAGATGTTTCGCATGTTCGCCTCTTGGGCTTTCACCGCGTCCAAGACGGCCCAAGAGGCGCCGAAGACCGCCCCAAGACGGCCCAAGAAGCTTCCAAGAGGGCCCCAGGACAGCCCAAGAGGGCCCCAAGACGGCCCAAGAGGCGCCCAAGATGGCCCAAGAGGGCCCCAAGACGGGCCCAAGAGGGGGCCCAGAGGGGGACCACGAACCGCAAGCTCGAGCCTTCCGCCCCAAGAGGCCGCCAGGAGGCCCCAAGGAGGCCCCTCAAGAGGCCCCAGGAGACCCCCAAGAGGCCCAAAGGAGGCCCCGAGAAGCCCCAAATCGGCCCCCAAAATGCTTCGAACCTGCTTCCAGGAGGCCCCCGACAGGTTCAGAGGCTCCCGAGAAGCTACGTCAAACTCCCAGCGAGCGGCCGGACGAGGCCCCCCACAAAATCACAAGAGGGTTCCAGTATTTGTATCCTTCAGCGCTCTCTGGCCTTCTTCCCCCTGCCCCCTTCCCTGCGACTTTCGTTGACTCAAGCTCGCCTCCTAGCTAGAACCTAAGCGCGCGCGAAGCGCATATATATATATATATATATATATATATATAGAGAGAGAGAGAGAGAGAGAGAGAGAGAAAGAGAGAGAAAGAGAGAGAGAAAAAGAGAGAGAGAGAGAGGAAACGCCCGATTCTTTCGCTGTGAGGATCTTCCCTCCGGAGCCTAGAAGGGGGGAGCTTGGGATTTTAGTTGGGGAGATTCCCAAGCCCAACATGTAATACAAAACACTAATAGTTCTTCGTGGGTTAGAACAAACAACAGCCACCCCAAAACGCCCTAACACACCCCGAAACAAAACAAAACAACCAACACAGTTGTCATTTTTCCATCGGCGGCTAAGCAGAGTATGCGATGGCGGAAGAGCTAACTGGGTCACCGTGGTCGCGAATTGTGCCACAATGCAGGGGAGAGGGACAAGAAGACGGCGGGCGGCCGAAGGGGGGGGGGGGGGGGGGAAAGGCGAGGGCCGCTCAAAGGGACGGGTCGCGCCCGGAGCGAGTGTGAGTAACTACCAAGCAATCGGAACCGAACCCACCGCGTCCCCCGGCGGTGGTCAGAGTTGGCTGCATCATGTGTCACGGTGTTGCTGTCCTGTAATGCTTTCGGCCGGCACACAGATTTACGCTTTCGTCGCGCAGCGATGCAACAAATGTTGCATTTTGTTGCGCGTCTGGCAATTGCGTACCCAATTATTTGCGATTAGCGCGCCTCCCGCACACCTGTGACGAAGTCGGTTTTGCGGAACGTCTGCAGCGCCGCGCGTGTGTCGCCAAAGGTCGGGGCTGACGGTGAAGGCACGTCTCACGCTAGGTTCAAAAGGGTTCGCGCTGCAAGGTTGGCATGACTGACATTACCGGTCGTCCAAACGCAAGACTCGTCTTCTTTCAGGGCGCAGTTCCACGCATTCATAGAAAAGCGCCACGACGAGCCCCACACAGACTCACATACTTATTTTTGCGAAGAGGCAAAACCTTTCAGAACGCAGCGCGCATACAACACTAACCAGCACATCGAGCCCGCAAGCGAAATGTGCCGCAAAAACCTTCGGTGCACCCCCCTTGGAGGCCACGAGCGAACCGTGTGAAGACTGCACTGACATGGTCCGGGCGGCGGCGCGCGGCTTGTGCTACAATGGCTGGCGGTGGAGCTCCCTATGATGCCACGAACCGAATGAAGAAAGGACTGAAATGGTCTCGGCGGCGGCAAGCGGCCTGTGCTTCAAAACCTTTGGTGGCGTTCCCTATGGGGCCACAAACCGTGTCAGGGCGTGCTGACATGGTCCAGGCAACGAAAAATTGCCTGCGCTACAAAGGCCTTCGGCGGGGTTCCGTATGGGACCACGATTGAAAGAGCTAAAACATGAAATGCACTGGGCAACGGCGTGCGGCCTGTGCTGGAACGACAAATTTCGGTCGAGCTCCCTGCGTGGCAACGAACAGTGTGAGGGGGTGCTGGAGCGGACTGGGCGGTGGCAAGCGGCCTGTGCGACAGAAGCCATCTGCGTTGCCCCCTGTGGAGCCACGAGCCGCGTGAGAACGTGCTGCTATGCTCTCGGCGACGGCGCGCGGCGCGTGCAACAGCAACCTTCCGCGTTGACCTCAATGAAGCCGCGATACGCGGGATATTTCATTTGACCATGTACGGTCGGAAGCACGCAGCCTGCGCACTAACAAAAATGTTCGGCCGAACTTCCCATGGTGCCACGAATCGTGCGAATGCAGAACTGAAGCGGTCTGGGCGGCGGCATGCGGCCTATGCCCAAAAAGCCTTCGGCGGAGTTCCCTTCGGGGCCACGAGCGGTGCGAAGCAAGACCTTCAGTGGACTAGGCGGCGGCAGGCGGCCTGTGTTACAAGGGCCCTCGGTGGGACTTCTCATGGGGGCACGAACTGTTTGAGGGGGGTGCTTAAGTTGTCTGGGCGGCGACAAGCGGCCCGAGCTGCAAAAGCTTCGGCGTAGCATCCTATGGGGCCACGAACCGAACGAAGGGTGTGCTGACATGGTTTGGGCGGCGGCACGCGTCCTTTGCTGCGAGAATCTTCGGTGTCACCGTCTTATGGGGCCGCGAACCGTGTGGGGTGCGTGCTGAATTGGCATCGGGCAGCGGAAGGAGGCCTGTGCTACGGAGGCCTTCGGCGGGGCCCTATGGGGCCACGAATCGTTCAGACGGCGTGCCGAAACTGCATTGGCAGAGCCAAAGCAAAGATCCACCATGCAAAAAAAGGATACATGAAGAGCAAATGAAGCGACTTGGAGTAGGAGGCGGCGGTAGAGGGGGGGGAAGACAGACGAGGAGGCGTTCAGCGCTGCGGGCTCACAACGAGGACCCAACAGACACGATAATTAGAACAAAAAAACGACGGCCTCCAAGAGCTCCATCACACTACTCTTCCGATGGCTCACATGCCTCCACGTCGCCTCCAAGGCAGGCGAAGGACGGCTCGAAGACAAACCGAGTCCGCGGCAACGCAATCCCAAGCCTTCCATTGCTCCCCCATGGGGCACCAGGGAGTCGCCAAGATGCCCCCGAGAAAAAAACATAACATCCTGATACGGCACTGATACAAGACATGAAGACAGCTCCAGGACGGCCCACTGCAGGTCCCGCTCAGGCTCCATCAGCTCATTTTCGCACACCCAGTGTCATAATCTGGAGGCAGCATCGGTTGACTCCCCCGCCCATGCCCCCAACGACACGACAACTCTGGGACCCAGACAGCGCTTTGGATCCCCAGTCGCAACGGACTCGAGGGCCCCGGGGGGCCATGCCGAGCCCGCGCCATGCCCCTCCGGACATGTCAAAAACCACTGCCGAGGGGAGTCCGAACCCACCGCTGCGGGAGCGCCCATGGGGGCCGCGGTGGGTTCGGACTCCCCTCGGCAGTCCTCCCAGACGTGTAAAAAAACGATGCCGAGGGGGGTCCGGACCCACCGCGGGGGGGGGAGTCCGGACCCACCGCGGGCCCATGGGAGCCCTCGCGGAGCCTTCCATGGGCTTCCCCGCAAAGCCCTCTGCCCCCCCCTGCCCTGCCCGCCGCCCCCGTTTCTGCCCCTCGTTCCCCCCTCGATTCTGCCCCTACGCCCCCCTCGCCGATACTGCCTCCAATGCCGTCCGCCCACGCACTGTGACAGCTCCGAGTCGCACCAAAATATATTGTAACTGTGA